CGATTTGGGCATATTTTAACCGATCAGGACAAGACACGACAAACATTAGACGATCAAATCTATTTTTCCAAGAATCCTTGATTAAAAATTAATGTTTTTAACCATGGCACTCTGGATTGAAATTTAAAATACGATTTTTTTATAAGCGAAAATGTCAAAAGTTGACATACATTGTAGTCATTTTCTATAGAATAAAATAAAAATATACCGAGGGTGCTATTTAAAAATCAAAAGTTGTAGTCATTTCCGGTGACACAGGAAGTGACCAAAATCAATTGAATGCGTCAATCAATCCTAATTTATATCATATACATACCAAATTTCGTTTTTTTTTATCTGAAAAATTATTATTACTTATTACTTTGGCGAGCCACTTTTGAGACGCACCCCGTATACCTAATGTTAAAATAATTTAGCTTTTTAAAATCATTATTTCAAAGTGAAATAGAAGGAATGTTGTTTTAGAGTTAATCGGCTGAATGCAAGATTTTTTTCTACAAATCGCAGAGTGCCCTGATGCCATTAAGTAGAAATATGCCAAGTGTCAAGCAGATTGAAGGGATTTATTCTAAGCATTTTATGCAAGGAAACAAGAAATGTAAAGAAGGTATAACGTATTTTTTTACATAAGATAGCAAATTAACTTTACAGGGTTATTCATGGCGATGGTAAAATCACGAATTCAGTATATTACTTGAAATTTGGATTATATGTGAAGGAAGTCAATATATCCAATTTTAAGAAACCGATATTTGGATATCATACATTATTTAAAAAATAAAAAATACTTTTTTTATTTTTACCGTTACTTTTTAACGGTATATTATGTCCCTATACCTAAATCTTCTTTCTTTAGTAAAGCCATTTAAAATTAATAATTCTAATTTTATAGTTTGATTTCAATAATTTCATTACCATAACAATTTTAGAAAATTAGCAAGTGTCACTTATAAAGCTTGAATATATTTTGAATTGACACTTATAAAGTTTGAATATATTTTCATGGTAACATTTTGTTTTAAAGTGAATCAATTATAATAGAATTATTATCTATTAAACGACTTTACTGAAGAAACTGGAAGATTTCGATATAAGAATATTATATATCGTTAAAAAGAAATGTTATTAGTCTTTTAACTTTTTAAATAATATCAATTTCAATTTAAAATAACAAAGATTTGAGAATTCTATAATAAAGAGAAATAAATCTATATTTTTATCTCCAGTCGGTTACTTGAGATCGAATAATTTATCACTTAAATTTCAACTTTCAATATGCTGAATTCTTGATTATACCTATCCTTAGTCAAGAACATGTTTTAGTCAATTCTACACATGTTTTATTTTTTATCTCGAAAACTACAGTATTGGCCATAAGTGGATGAACTTTGTTAAAATAATGTTTTTTTTCTGATATGTTTAAAATTAAAATTTGAGCTATATTCATTTCAAGTCTAGTGTCAGTGCTATAAAAATAAATAACATTGTTTTTTTTTTAATTTGCTTTAATAAGGTAGCAAAAAATTTAAATTGAAAAAACCATTGGACAAAAGTAGATGAACAAAATATATATTTAATAAAAAAAATCTTATGTTAACAAAAACCGAAAAATTAACTTATAATTTACTAGTACTTAGTGTAATAACCCTTATTCTTAATTACTTTCAGACATCGCTTTGGCATAGATCCCAAAAGATTTTCAATTATTGAAAAATCGATATTTTTCCAAGACTCTTCCAAAGCTGCAAATAATTATTGCTTATTTTTGTAGAATTTGGTCCTAATGTATTGATCCAAAATTTCCCATAAATTTTCTATTGGATTCAGGTCTGGGGATTGCGATGGCCATTTGAGAACAGTCACCATTTCATCTTCCAAAAAACTATTAACCAATTGTGAGGCATGTTTCGGGTCGTTATCATGTTTGAAGAGTGTACAACTGGCATTTTTTCCTCCAAATAAGGCAGTAAAATGTTTTGTAAAATGTCTATGTAGCCAAACTGATCCATTATGCCCTCAATTTTATGGAGAGGCCCCATCCCGTACCCAGAAAAACAGCCCCATACCATGATTGAGCCCCCACCATGTTTTACAGTGGGTCGCGTGTACTTTGGTAGCAATTGTGTGTTGGGAGGTCTTCTTACATGTTGAATTCCATCTGATGACACCAAATTAAAATTTGATTCATCACTAAAATAAACTTTTTTCCATTGTGCCACAGTCCAGTTTTGATGTTTCTTAGCAAATGCTAATCGGGCCTTCAAATTTTTTTTTGATAGCAGTGGTTTCTTGGCGGGTCGTCGGGAAAACAACTTCTGGTCAACTAATTTACGTCGGATCGTCCTTGTAGTCACTGGTGGATAGCCCATTTCTTCAAGTTTTGCTTTTATCTTCGTTGACGGCAAAAATGGATCTTGTGAAGAAATTCGTTTTATGGCTTTTATCACATTGGGACCAACTTTTTTAGGTCGTCCTGGTTTTCTTTTTATAGAGACATCTCCTCTCTCATTATATCTCTTTAAAATATAATGTACCGCTGATTTTCCAAGGCGTATTTGCTTAGCGATTTCCGATTGCTTCTAACCATCCTTAAAAGCATTCACTACTCCCAACTTAAGAACTGCAGACAAGTTAATTCCACGTGGCATGATATATCACAAGAGCTCAAATGTTTTTAAATCGCAATTGTTCATAGAAGCAGAACAAATGAAACTAACGATTTCTAAAATTATTTTGTTCATCTACTTTTGTCCAAGACAAAAAAGCAACATTTGCCAATTCTTATCTATAACTGATAAGACTAACAGAAGAATTTATATTTGTTTGTAGTATTTTGGTGAGAATATATTAACCTTTTAACATACAAAGGTACATAAAATAATTTTGATATTTAACACCTCAAATCTGATTTTGTTCGCAATTATTGGTATTGATTCATACACTTTTGGCCAATATTGTATAAGACATAAGCATAAGATAGTATAATAAAAAAAAATGAGAAATGGAAGGACATAAAAATGTGATTTACCTTATAAAATATATAAGGACAGTTACATAATTACAACGTATGATTAGCATTTTCTTAAACGGTTTAATCAAATCTGTTATTTATTAAGGGCCAATTCTACAATTCAAGTATAAACCTAGAATAAGCTATACCTTAGAAAACTGCTCATTATTGCGTTCTACAATACAACCGATAAATTTATCTGAAGTATAAACCTGGTGTAAGTTATCTCTTCCAGTTTGATGGTATATCCCAGGAATAAGTTTATACTGCCTTCCTATTGGTTGGTGCCATTCCGTTTCCTCACGTCATTTTCCGGAAAAAACTTAACCTAACTTGCTTGTTTTGTTTAAGAGACTGTATTTTTTTGTTAAATTCGGTACGTTCATCAAATATTTAAATGGATCCTTTCAATTTGCCTAATAATTTTGAATCTGATGATGAAATTGAGGAGTTCAGATTATACAGGAATCCTAAAGTGTTCAAAGTCAGGTAATAGTCAGGAATTTACAATTTTATACGTAGAGTTTCTAACTAAAAAATATGTTTTAGGCCCAATTATTTTGAAGAATATGATGAACTAGAATTTTTTAAGCGTTTTCGGTTGCAGAAACAGACCTGTGCTATGCTGTTAGGTTTAATTCGAGATGAAATAACATCAGCAACAGATCGCAATAATGCCATACACCCTGAGACAAAAATTTTTCTAACTTTGCGGTTTTATGCTACAGGTTGTATGCTACTTACCACAGGTGATTTCACAGGGGTAAGCAAAACATCTGCCTGTGTCATTGTGACTCAGGTCACAGAGGCTATTGCTTCTTTGCGACCAAGATTTGTTAAATTACCAGAGGGAGAAATGGAGTGTCAGAGGATAAAAGAAGAATTTTATTCAATTGCAAGGTTTCCTAAAGTTATTGGTACTATTGATTGTACCCATGTACGCATTATTTCACCGGGTGGTGATCAAGCGGAGAGGTATAGAAATAGAAAAGGGTACTTTTCATGGAATGTTCAAACAGTTTGTGATGCTCGTTTAAGGATAATGGACATTGTTGCTCGCTGGCCTGGCTCTTCCCATGATCAGACTATTTATAATAATAGCAGACTTAAAGGAACATTGGAAAGTGGAAGATTTGGAACATCGGTGCTTTTGGGTGACAGTGGTTATGGCAACACCAACTTTTTAATCACACCTTTGGAACATCCAAATACTCGAGCAGAAGCTCTATTTAATGAATCCCACATTCGTACACGTAACTGTGTGGAAAGGTCATATGGGGTATGGAAAAGAAGATTTCCCATTTTATCTTTAGGGATGCGTGTATCATTGGACCATTCAAAGGCAATAATAGTAGCAACTGCAGTTCTACATAATTTGGCAATTGAGGAACATGAAGAAGAACCACCTCATGAAATGGACGTTCAAGAAGTAGACATACCAGTACCTGTTGCAAATGTAGGTATGGTTCGAGAACAAAACCGAATGCGGGCATCCCTCATTCTCAACCATTTTTCAAATTTATGAAAACTATATATTCTTTTTGTAATATAAACACATTTTTATATGACACGCATGACCTTTTCTTTAACCTTAAGCATCATTTCTAATTTTCTCTAAAACGGTATGGAAATTTGGAAAAGTATAAACAGGATTAACCATTTTAGAACAAGCAAAATTTTTATGAAGAATGCATTTTTCTTAAAATGCCAATAATAAAAAAGGCTTTCCTTTTGTAAAGACAATCCAGGGACATACTGTATTAATTTACTAATTTTCAGAATAGGCACTACAATGAATTTGAAGTTTCTTCTGGCTTTGTAACATATTTAAATTTTAAAAAGTATACTTTAATTTTGATACCTATTATAGAAACATTTGCGGAAGAATATTATTTTTTTTATATTCTTCCGTGATAGGCTATATGAATAGAATATATAGGCTATATAGAATAAATAAATATACGAAACAATTCTTTTACTTAAATAGAAGTTAGTTTTTATTTTTTAATTCAGCTAACAATATATCTATTTCTAACTTGTGCTTTTCAGCAATATTTATTTTTTTTTGTTCTGTTTCCTCCCTTAATATTTTGATCTGTGCCTCAATCAGGCCTTTTTTCTGCTCCCTCTCTTCTTGCAGAACCTGAGTTTGTAACTCTACAAGGGCAATTTTTTTCTTCAGTAATTCCTCTTGAAGTGTTTCAAAATGAACTGCCCTTTTATTTTTTAATTTGGAACCAATGGATTCCACTTTACTAACCCTCCTCGTTTTTTTGACATCATTAGAGCCTAAAAAAATATTATTAGTACATAAAACTAATGTAATGACATTCAAGTATATTATCGTACAGCATGGGGTTACTCCAATAGTTTTTGTCACCTGTTCATTCGTGTCTTCTAAATCAGTATTATTTGGTTCTGTAAGGAGAATAATATTCATTTAGTAAACCCTTAACAATCAGTTATGAAAATTCTTACCAGGAACTGTCAACTCGATACTTTTCGGCTGCCTCAACTGCTGTGGATTCCACGTCTGCCAACTGCTCAAGCTTATCTAAAATTATTTATGCACTTAAAAGAACATTTTAAATTCAATTACTTACAATTTCAGCTGCATCAGAACTGTCTTTATCTATAGTTATTTCCTCTGCTGCTATATCTTCATTACTTATTACTTCAGTAGGTACAATAGGGACCTGAGAGGAAATGCTGCTAGAGTCTTCAGTGAGTAGCTTATTACTACTGTTAGGTAAATCTAGAATTAAAAAATATAAATGTCATTATAACAAGTTTTTTAGTTATGGAAGTAACTAATATTACCAAAATCGCAATCAAACTTAGAACAAGTGCCAGACATCCCAATCCGAACTACAGCCAAAATACGTTTCATATAGCCTGACATTTTAAAGTCAGAACTTCCTGGTCCACCACCTGTCTTATATAAACTTTGTTTGTACTCTCCATATTCCTTTTGGTGGTTTTTTTTAGAGAATCCCACTTGCTACGTAGCATTTTAGAAGTTCGTGCTGTTGCACACATCGAATTAAATTTAGTCTCAATCTTCTTCCATTCTAGCTCTTTTCTGCTGTTGTTAATCGTATCTGTCTTCTTGCATTCTATAAAAAAGGTAATATGAAAATACAATTCCAAAGGATGTCCGGTATACCGGATGTCCTTTATAAAGAAATCAATATGCTGTACTTGCCTACAATAAGCTGAGATTCCTCCACTAAGCTCAGTAAAACTTCAGTCTCGTCGGCTGTAAAATTATTACACCGTTTTTTCTCCATACTTATATTAGCTTTCGCTCGCAAACCACACACTCAAGAAACAAAAATGAAATGAAACCGCTACTCTGACCGCTAAAGATAAAGAACTACCCATGAAAACCACTAAAACGTTACTGAAAACAGAGCTGAAAGTCAGGTTATAGTGTATAATACCACAGATAATATCCGCCTTTCAAAATGTCAAATGTCAAAATGCTAGTTCATTGGAACTACCAAGGAGATATACTTGGAATAACTATACCGATTATAAAAAACGATTGTAAAACCGACAACCAGTTATACTTGGAATAAATCGGGGTATAGGTTATCAGTAGAATAATTATACTGGCTTTTATACTTGCATTGTAGAATCGGGCATAAGAGTAACTTTTCTGATGATTGTTAAACTTTTAAAATGTTAAATAGTAATAACAAAGTTAATTCTGCCGAATTATAAGATTTTTAAAAGCCAAAATGAATGTTAGCAACACCAACAATATGCGATTACTTTTTTGACAATGAATTTTTGTCATCTAACAGCAAAAGTACAAATTAATTATTAATTCAACTATCGAAAAAAAACTGTGTCAGAGTAGGCTTTGAAATAAGGATCGCTATTTCAAACCAAGAGGGCGCCGTTTTTTTCCGGGTTGGCATGGCATAGTATAAGATTTTTATGAATAATTAGTTAAAGATGTTTTTGATATAAAATATTGTAGCTATCTCTATTTTAAAATATATTTCTTCAAAAATTACAGAAAAACTAAGATAATAAAAGACCTATGTTTTCGTACAAGCTCTAACCAGCTTAATACAATGATTATTTTTCTCAATAGCAATTTAAATGTATTACAATGACTCAATTTCAACTACTCTGTCGGAACATCCTAATCGAGCCATTTAATTCACTTCGCAAGACTCCGAGAAACTTTTAAGCCCGCACAATAAACGCCCGAAACACTTAACCTTCGAGTTGAAGTTATTTTCTTCGGATACGATTTCGCCCTCACACTTAAGGTAACTTAGGTAAGGATAACACGAGTTAAATCCCGAGGATTTATCCATTGATTCACGGCCGGTGCGGAGTAAAGTTTCCGGGAAAGGCTTAAAGTTAAACTATCAAGACAGTCCGACTAATCCCGAATCTGATGTTACATCGCCGCCCGTCCATTGGGAGGACGTGGTCGTTGCCGATCTTTCACCTTTTGCAGGGGACATGTCATAAACCGTTAGAAAATCGAACAGTGGCGTACACATTTTACAAGAAGTAAAGGCAAATTTTTCAATAAAATGGCAACCAAAAGGGCTGGTGTCGCTGTGGCAATTTTCTAGTGAGAGTAACTATTTTCAAAATCGACATTATTTTATTTAGGACATTATTATTTAGTTTGGTTTAGTTTATAACAGTTTACTTCAATTTACCCACAATAGTTTTATAAGAAGGAAATGCTGTATATAGTGTATCTGCTGGCGGAACGGTATGTTACTGGTTATGTTCAAAGATTTCCAAATGGGAATCTTCCTGGTGTGGTTTACAAAAAATCTATTAGGCCGAAACCTGTCGTTGGAAGTGAAGAAAAGGAGTTGCAGTAGTTGGCTCTTTTATGGAAAATCCATATCTGCAAGTCATCGTAAAATAAAGCCGAGAATTACTTCTTCGTTTTTCTTGATAGAATAATAAATATATATTTAATAAATATTATTTATTAAACTAGTGTAGGGGTAAATTAAATAAAAGTAAACTGCTATAAATTTAAATAAATTCCATAAACTAATTTCGATTTCGAAAATAGCTACTAACTGTCCTAGAACCTCTTGCCCTAGAACCTCTTGCCATTTTATTGAAAAAATTCTCTTTATTCAAAATCTCAGCTAGATAAATATAGGAAACCCTAATATAGTTTGAAAGAGCATTTATATGTTTCTTAGAGTAAAATAATTGTGTATACAAAATGATAAGTTACCAAGTAAATTATAATATTAAAGATTATTATAAAAGCTCGAAAATACAGGAATTAACCACGAGGCATATACAGTAGGGTGGAGCGAAAAAATGAATTTTATATATTCAGTACGCCTGACTCTGTAAAGTACGGAGAACTTTAAAATAATCATTTAAAAATTAAAACGGAAATTTTTCGACACCCCCTTCCACCGCCCCAACCCCTTCACTTTTATTTTTCACATTTTCGCGCCGTGGTGGTGAAAAATAAACATTAACGAAGAAAAATCATTTACAAAAAATTTTTGTTTTAGTAAGACAAGTATTTTGCAAGCTCAGGTAGTGTAAAAATAAATAAATAAATAATACGTTTTTCTTTCACTTTAAAACTTATTGCGTTTTTGCCCGTAAAATAGTATACTTTTTATGTCAAAATAGTTTGTGCCATTACCTATAAAATATAATGACCTTTAGGACCGACTTTTATGGGCGAAAAGACAAGAAGCCCACTTTTACAGATAATAGAAAAAGGGCAATAGTAGAAGAACATGTTGTGTTGGTAGAAGAACCCAGATCAAAATATATTGGTCACATATACTTCTGGATCTTCTTCAAGTATATTAGCATATAATAACCAGATTAGAAAGAAAACTGGATCGTCCTCTTCAATGGTTTGTTTGCATGTTGCATGCTAACGAGCTTTCGTTGCGACATCTTTTATTACATCTTGACGGTCAAACATCTGGTCCCAGGGCATTTAGAGGTCCTACTTTTAAGTAGCTGTAAAAAACTGCCCATTGTAAAATTTTCCAAAATAGACTTTGAGTTACCGAATATGGAATTAAGCACAGAACAAAGATATTTATATGACATGTGCGTTTCAATAAGAAGTGGAAATTGCTCTGAAGGGCTGCCAAAACGTCATTCTAGAAAATTAGTGCACTCTCGCTGGTTGACTACAGTAAACAGAATTTTGCGCCTATACGCAGCTACGTCAAATCCTGATCAGAATTTGGTACCATTCTGAGAAGAATTCTCGATTTTTTAATAATCCGGTTTAAAATTTGACGCTGACGACTACTATGATTTAATTGAATGACAAAGTTTGCGTTATAATGAACCCTCTGTAACCAGAAAGCTGACCGTAGAACTAATAAAAGAAGTGATAGAAAACCCAGAAGATTCATCTTTAGCACATCAGAAATTACTCTTGTCATACCCAAGCAGTAGAACGGGCAGTAAAGGTAGTAACTGAAGCATCCATTACGGTTTGCGGCTATGATAGGAGGGATGGAGTCATAAGAAGCAAACTATAAATTCAAGAACATTGATGCCTAAATTTGAATCAAAAAAGAATTTTAAAACCAAATAATTGTTCTTTAAGCTTATGTTATTATTTTATTTTGTTTTGTCTTATTTTTCAATTAGTTTTTTCTTTAATACAAATATTTTCTTAAAAATTCGTCCTTTATTACTTTGCCTCGTGGAGATAATCACAAAAAAATAGTGCATTCAAAATATATACCTTTTTGAGTAGAAAGCTATTGGACACTCAAGCATTATTATTTTAAAACAATCCGATTTTTTTAAAATTGGCTGTGGCGGTGGAGGGGGGAGTCGTAGAAAAAAAGTTTATATACAAAAAATACTACTATTTCCATAATAAAGCTTTCTCATACTCAGGCGAGATCATTTTCAACAAAAAAAAATCTGAAATTTTTAAGTTGACTGTGACGGTGGAGGGGGAAATTAAAAAAACAAAACAAAAATACGTGACGCCTTATTTTTTCATATCACAGCTATTGTCCGGTCAGGAAACTTAATTTTCGAAAACAAAAAAAATCTCACCTATATGGTCGCTCCACCCTAATATGAGTTTGGTGAGTTTCCTACGATGTTCTCTATGGGTATCTCGGAAACTACTGGAGATAGAGAGCCGGTTAAATGGGGAAAGAACTGCAGTTTTGTGGGGTTATAAATATGCGCCTTTCAGATTTTTGAAAATGTTCATGGCTTACTAGATATTTGGAAAAAAACAAATTTCGGCATTTTTAAAAATTGTCCCTAATTCCATTATAATCTATTTTAGACAAAAAGTTTTTCGATAAAAGCTGTAGATAATCACAATATTAATGAGTTTGTGTTCTCCAATTCTTTCTAAAACCTGTCATTTTTGACATATGAGTCAAACATAATGTTTTTTAAATGGAAACCATAGTTGGCCATGACTTCATAAAAAGCGCCATTTTATAAGCTTTCAAGCGATATAAGCTATAATATGTTTTTTTCAAAAATGTTTAGCAAATTCTTATCTTTCTTGACTCATTTCTAGTGATGGGATAACTCGAGCGAAAATTTGCTCGAGTACTCGACGAGTACAGCCGGTCGACTTTAATAAACTTCTTCACCGGTAAACGTATCCTCGAAAATGTATGGCCAAGAAAAGTTGAACCAATAATCCTACACGCTTTTCTTCATTTGAAAAATTCATATTTACAATATTTGCTTATTTTAATCTACAAAGTTTGGACGTCTCAGTTTTACATTACTGAGATGAACTACGATTGAACTTGTTCCTATGGCTAACTAAGTGAAACTGTTTAAAAATGATAAGAATTGTCTATAACTCAGTAATTTTTCGAAAGAAACATATTATAGTTTATATCGCTCAAACGCTTAAAAATGGCGCTTTTTATAAAGTCATGACCAACTATCGTTTTCATTTAAAAAAATATATGTTTGTGACATATGT